CTCAGTCAGATGTTGCCAACCTTTCAAAATGACCTGAACCCGTCAAAGCCAACTTTGTCCTCCAGTGGGGTGTGAAGGAAAGCAGTTCTGAGAGTAGTTTTGGCTCCTTAGGAAGGGCTGGAAAAGACATTATAATGTGTTTTAAGCCTTGGTGCGTTCGGGCAAGTTCTTCACATAAATATCCGTTGCAGTAGTGTCTCACTATTGCATTCCATAGCACTTGGTGTCTCTGGTATGTCATGAGGTCACCTCACTACCCAGGCTCGTACTTTGGAGGATGATACTGCATTTTTGGCCCTGTAGCTTGCTTTCCCTTGTCTGTGAGTGAAGAGCAGGAGTCTGACATTTCCCACTGTGCCGCTTGCTTTGCAGACACCAAACTGAAGCTGCTTGCTAAAGCAAAAGCCAGTAGGCATGTACTGTGGGTTAGTCTGCTTTTAGGGACCCTTGGCTACTCACTTCACAGGCCCCTATTACCCCTACCCCTACCTCTTTAATTGTGTATCATGATGAAGGGTTCAAGTCGAAGTAGCAGTGAAAAGTTTCCAGTCAGACTTTTGGCTGCGCACACTCAACTTGTTTCTGTAATACATAATCCATCAGACATTTGTCTCTAATTGAGAGTGAAGTCTCTACCTGCTACGGCTTTTAAATTCTTGAACAAAGTACTTTCCCACGGGCATTGTATGACTTTACCTGGAGGTTAACTCAATTTTAAACACGTACAGTAACCTGAAAAACTGGTAGCTATGACATTTTCACTTGTACCAAATTAATGCAATATAAGAACAAGTTGAGGAAGTATTTTGTATCTTGGTGTTCTGTGGGTGCAATCTCAGTAGAAGCAGGGCCCTTAACTCAGGAACAGGTACTGAAATAATCTTATCTTGGCCTCTTGAAGGGACTTACCAAGAAATGAGAAAAATCTCTTCCCCACCCTAGCATACTGCCTTGTGAAATATGTGATGTTGAAACTGCTGGCCATTACTGTTTTTTCCTGGCAAGGAGGAAATTTATTGAAGTTTCTGAAGTGTGTTTTTAAAATTTGTTTTCTATAAGCATTTGAGTACTTTCTACAAAGAAATAATTGATGTCTCAGAAAAACAGACAAATTCTCTAGCCCCTGTTAGAAATTGGGTTCCTTCAGCAAAGGTTCAACTGTGAAAGACTTTGTGTATATCATGTGTATGCTTCTGTGAGAGGGTAGAAGTTGTATAGACTGAGGAAACAGAATTTAATAAATATAAGTTGCCCTACCAGTTCAAAGTGTACTGTCTTTTTAGGAACATATGGGGGCAGGTTCCTGACAAGGAGAGAAGCACTTTTGGGGTGAAATATTTTCTTAATCACAGGGAAGGTCCTGTGTGGTTTTGTGTAGAATATAATCTTATACAGCAGTAGACATAAATCTTTTTTTTCTTCTCATTTTATTTTAATTTCTCATTGTATTTTAATTGAAATTCTGAATTGAAGTATTTAACAAAAGTTTTTTAAAATCCTATTGTCAATGAATTATGTTCATTGTAGAAAACTTGGAAACATTTTGAGAGGACAAAGATAACCCCCCAAAATAGCCCACTACCTATACTAGTATCTCTTGTCATCTATTATTATAAAAATGGGATTTTCTAGTTGCCTTTTTTTTTCCTACCATAAGTACTTCCTGTTATTGAAAATTTTTTTCTCTAATGTATATTACTATGGAATTCTGCCATGAATTTACTTCAAAGTATTTTGGGTGATTTGGATTTTTTTCTATCTTTTGTTTTTTAATAGCTCTGCTTTGCAAGAATTTTTTTATATCTCCTAACTATCTCAGTCTATTTTTTTTCCAAAAGAAAAGTCATAGTTAAAGTGCAGACCTTTTGACTTCAACTTCTTTTAACTTTCTTACCAGCCTTCCCTCTTTCCAGGTCCTCTACTCCCTTGTAAGTCTCAGGCCTTGCACTTACCATCTGTTTTTTAGTCATTCTTCAGAAATGGAGAGGGCAGGGGGTTACTAGAGATTATGTTCTCTGTCTCTATAACAAGCACCAGGTTGTTCTCTAGTAGATAAAATTGATCCCCCCCCCCTCGCCCAGTATCCTGTAACACACTATCTTCCAGAACATACATTTGTCTTTTGTGTTTTTCTATCAGTACTTCAGCTGGTTTTTGCTACCTTCACAGAAAATACTGTCAAGAGTGTAAATCTACCACCAGGAAAGTCTCATCACACTGAAGTCTTTCCTGTCAGTTCTTTTTTGAATCTCCTGCAACCCAACAGTAGCAAAGAATGTATGTTTGATACTGTGGAATATACAACACTAAACTACTATTCTGAAAATATACATACACATACCCAGCTCATAGTGACCAGCTAAGGAATGCCTTGCTTCATAAAAATTAATCACTTGGCTTACTTGTCATAACTTTTGAACTTTTCCTGGGAGTTCAAAGGGGGAAAAACCAACTCAGTAATGTATTTTATCCAAAAAAATTAAGTAATTTATTGAGAATTTCATATAGGGATTTAAGCATATAAGGTGTTTTGATCCAATCCATGGCCACTCCCTTCCCTCCAACACCTCCCCTATCTCCCCATCACTTTTTTCTGATAATTTCATGTACTCTTTCTTCTTCTTTTTTTTTATGGGGCTTTTTGCTACTCTAACATTCTCCCCTCTGAAGGGGTACCCCTAAAATCTTTTAAGGATTAGGTAAGAGCTTCCAAAAACTTTTGACATTTTGACCTTTGGAACAGAGTATATTGATTTCTAAGAGGCCCAAGGACATTTTAACTTTTAGTCAAGAAGCTGGCTACTTTTCTTTGGGGTCTTTTTACACTAACTGCCTAGCCATTTCCTACCTCCTGTTCTTATCACACCATCCTCTGAAGAGGTTACCCAGCTTATGGATAGGGAATCGGGATGCAGACTGCTCTGGCTTCTTCTATGCTGAACAAGGACGCAGGGTAAGGCAGTTGGGTACCCCTTCAGTGGGTCTATCCAAAAGACTTCCAATTTGTGTACTCTTATCTCTAGTGGGGGAAAGAAAGTCCTTGACTGGTAAATAGGAAATGTGAAGGAGAAATAAAGGCAAGAGTAATTAGCATTACAAGTTCCAGACAGGGAACTAGAAAAAAAGTCAGAACAAGGCAATTTTCAAATGCTCATATGAGAGGCCATTGGAATTTCTTGACAAGGGCTTCCAAAAGCATCCATCTATTGGGTTCCTCCTCATTTTCCTTTTGTCTACCAAGGCTGAACTAGAGAGTGATAGATTCAGGATTTGCTTTCAGGCATTTTGATAGCTGTTGGAGTGGTTAGAATCAGTGTCAGTTCCCTCTCAAAGGCTTCTAGGTAGGGGGAGAAAATAAATTTAGCCATCATTTTAGAACAATAGCAGGTTGTCTCCCTTAGCTACAGGTGGGCACTACAGTATTGAAGACCAAGATTTGAAGTCTTACATCTGAGCAGCACTTTCTGATTCAGAACAAAATCATCAATGAGAGAGAATTGTCTAAATAACTTTTTATATGGACTTAAGCCTAATGTCTGGGAAGTATAATCCCTTGAACCCTTAAAGAACTATACTGATCACTTTGCTCTTTGGTTATACTTTCCTCTTGGGTGTTTAAGACCATACAGTTGGCCCAAATAAATCAATTTATATTTACACTTAAGGTTGTTTGAGGATCTGTTCCTCGGGGGTCACATGGGCTTGGGCGGAGCTCATGGCTCCTTTCTTTTACCAATTCCATCTATGTGAAGATAAGTCAACGGTCCTACTCGACCATGGCTGGCTTCACTTGGAAGCTTGGAGGAAGTATTTCCTCTGAGTTGACCCTCCTTTTGTAGACTGGACACTGGTTCAAATCCATCTGGTAGGGTCTCCATGGTCTCCCTGAACAAGAGGGTGGGTGACTCACCACAGTTGTAGGACATTTTGAGAGATGGTCCATAGTCCCCTGGAATTTAGTCAACCTTGGAGGGCAAGGGGCAAAACCTGTCCTTTAAGTCCCTCTGACCAGATTAGTATGGGCCTCAAAGGCTGTTAAACATCCAATAATGTTAATTCTACCAGTCTGGTACTTTTAATTACCATGTGCTATATAGATAAAGCTTGGGTAAAAAACCAAATGTTCTCAGATAAACCTTGACTAGATATACCCAAAATCTTTTAATCTGAAGTTTGAACAAAACAGAATAACAGAATAAACATTTAGAAAATTTATTACAGGGACCATTGTTCTTACTAACATAAGCATAGTGTTTAGAAAAGAAAATAATACCTTTTTTTTTTTCAGTCTTTTTGAGATAGGGTCTCCCTGTAACCTCAAATGGCCTAGAATCCTCTGTGTAAACCAGGCTGGCCTTGAACTCACAGAGATCCCATCAGGCTCTGCCTCCTAAGTGCTGGGATTAAAGTCATGCACCACTACACTCAGCTTGTAAAGAATAAAAAATATCAGCTGATAGCAGAATCATAGACCCATATGTCCTTTTTTTAAAAAAAACATATATCTTGGTTCTGATTTAGTATTTTTAAACAGCTTCAACTAATTTGGTCCCTGATCTTGGAGAAACAATTTTAAGAAATGACCAGTGTCATCCCGACTGTGTCTTGCAGTTTTTCTTGGGGTCAGAGGTAGAGCTACTGTGCATGCTTCAAAGGACTGTATGTGTCTGTGTTCTAGGACCATATGAAAACCTCCCAAGGTTGGGAGTACATTTGGAAATTCTATGCTTGTTGTCCATTTTATCTATGAAGTTCTTCTGTCTTGAGGGTTTAGGGGACGGTGGTAAGCTTCACTGGTAGACTTCTGCATCCGCACTGCTGGCTAAACTCACTGTTGATCCCAGACAGCAACCTGCCTTCCTATGCCACTTGCACCTTCTTGTACACCTTTGAAAGTTCACTTTGTTGCTGTTGTTTGTTTTTCCCCACCAGTTCCTTTGGTTTCTGCTCTTGAGTGCAGGCACTGATGTGTACCTCTGACTGTTGCTCTTTTTCCACAGAGGGAGAACCGAAGATTACAAGAGGCCAGCATGAGGTTGGAGCAAGAGAACGATGACCTTGCCCATGAACTAGTAACCAGCAAAATTGCTCTGCGCAATGACTTGGATCAGGTACATTTGTCTTTGACTAGAGAGAAATGAGACTACAAGAGCTTCTTCAAGGGCAAGGACTAAGTTGCTCTCAAAGCATTTCCCCCAGGTTCACTCTGTTCTTAACACCAGTGAACTGCTGGATAGATGACTAGGTGGGTGGCAGGTGGGAGGGGACTGCTTGTGCTAATTTCAGAGAGTCTTAGAGAAAGGTTTGGATTATTTCCTAACAACTTGTGTTACATACTTTTTCAAATGCTATAAACTACTTTGCTGTTTCTTTCCTTTGACCGTACTTTTCCTAAACGAAGAGCTATCAGCATAATTACCTAAGAATATTAGTCATCAGGAGCATACTAGTGCCACTGTGATTTTTGCAAGCATTTTCTTTTTTGTTGCAGTAAGAGTCCTCATCTGTGACAAATGTAGAATTGTTCATGAAGCATATACATGAAGAGTTGGGCAAGGCATGGCAGTACACACCTGTAATCTAGCACTCAGGAGATAGAGACAGGAAGATCAATAAAGTTCAAGGTTAGCCTGGGCTACAATAAGAGCCTATCTCAAAAAAAAAAAGCAGAACAAAACAAAACAGGGAAAAAAATATTCAGGAACTAGGCTATTAAATTAACTAGTGGCTAAGGCCAGACTGCCTTGGTGTGAATCTTCTAACCTTGTGACCCTGGCAAGTTCTTTATTAGGCTATAGGTATAAAAAGTATCTACCTCATAGGGATGATATAAGAATTCCAAAGCACTTCAGAGTATGTTTATTACATGTTAGCTGTCGCCAAGGGCCCCTTCTGTTATTGTTCTTCCTTTGTTCTTTGCAACAGTGCTGACAGTCTTTGGACTTCCTGTTTTCTTTTGCTGTCATTTTCCAGAAATGATTGCTAAGGTGGAAGCAGTCTTATGCAGCTTTACATTTTTACACTTCTAAAAAAGTGTCTCACAAAAATTGTTTTTCTGACTTCTAAAATGTAAATATTCCATTAAGAGATCAAAAAAAATTAAGAATTAGACTTTTGAGTCTGAAAGGAAAAAATCATTATTACCTATGTAGTAACTAGGTATTAACATTGTTTAAATACAGATCCACTAATAATCCCAGTCTGCTTAAAATTAAAGGATAACTAAAGTAACTCTCTGCCACAACTTCTTTTCTAATATAAACTGCTAAATTTTTTACTCAAAATTTTCTAAGTGGAAGATAAGACCCAAATATTAAAGAAAATGGTACTAACAGGGCAGGAGGAAGCTTAGGAAACCAGCATTAAATGTAATATTGTTCCCCCCCCCGCCCCCATGTAAAGCCACAGTTCAAACCTCAGGACTCAAGTATGCTAGGCAAATGCATTACCACTAGCTACATCCCCAACCCCCAAATTGATTTTGAAAAGACAAAGAGAAAGAACCAAATTGTGATGCTTAGACTACAAGGTATAGGAAGTAGCAAAAGAAGCCCATTTAAAAAAATTATTTAACTATAAACTCTATACAGCTAGTCCCATTTGGAATTTGATAAAAGTCATAGAAGAAATGTATGGCTGAGAGAGCCAGAGCCAGGAAAGATTCCATTCAGTCAGGACCAGCTCAGTCTGACTGCAGGAAAGCAGGACCGTATAGAAAGTCCTGGTTCCATACTAGCTTTCTAGATGGTGTTTTGTTTTTTGTCTTTTTGAGACAGGGTCTCCCTGTACCCCTAGCTAGACCAGGCTGTAGACCAGGCTGGTCTCTATCTCAAGAGATACACCTGCCTTTGCCTCCTGAGTGCTGGGATTAAAAGTGTGTGTGTGACCACACCCAGCTCTTCAGATGGGTTTTACCCAAACTAGATTTGCCATTTTGAATCATTTACTATCTATTAATTTTCTTAAGATGACTAACTAAATGAAAAAAGTAAACATTTGGGCTCAATAGGGATACAATGAAATTAGCTAAAGGGAAATTTAAAGGTATTTGGTAGTATGTAGTAAGCCTACTTAAGGTTTAAGCAAATAATTACATACATTTTTTTTACTGATTAGTTACTGTGTGCCAAGCACTCTGCATAGCAATTTATAAGATAGGCATTATCTCATTCACTCTTCCTGATATTCCTATGAGGCAGAGTTGTTAATGTACAGTAGTGGAAGCATGCAAGACCTCCAAAAGATATTTCTCCATGCCTATGGCTTGTGGTAAAAATCAAAACCATCATACTTTCCCCATCAGTCTCTATATTGGGGTAACCAGAAATCTGTACATGAGTATTTGCTTCTGAAACAAATATTTAGAAGAGTAATCACAAATATACATGAATAAACTGGACCCTGAACAAATTTCTGCTGACTTCTTTCCTCCATCCCTCGGTGACCCTGAGCTGCTTTCTTCAACTTCACTCTGCTCCTTTGCCTTGTTCTGCACAGCCGTGAACTGCTTGTGTTTTGCTTCCAGTGAGTAGAATAGGGAGCAGATTGGACAGAGGACTAGCCCTCAGTACAGGAAGAGCTAAATCTTCAGGGATATCACATGCCACTGATTTGCCTAAGGAGTCTTCAGTCTTACATTTTCAGTGTGGCCTTTAATTCAGATTCTTCATTGGCATCACTAACTGGGAAGGCTGTTCCTTTTGCTGATTCTGCTACAGCTGTCTGTGAGGATGTTGCTTTCCCAATTCTAACTCTGTTCGTCAGCATTTTAGGTGCCCTGTCTTTCATGGTGGGTTTCAGGTATTTCCATAGCATTCTCATTTACTGGACCCACTAGAGATGAGACAGCGTTTCAAGCTTTGTCTTCTATGTGTCCACAGCTCTACCCCACCCCTTTTTGTTGTTGTTGTTGTTTCTTTGTTTTAGTTTGCAGAATGATTATTTCTTTTTGTGCTAATTTAACTTTTGAAGCAAGAATTATTTTAAATATTTTATTATTTTTTATTTTTATGTGTATGAATGTATTGCCTGCATGTGTGTAAGTGCACCCATGTTGTACAGTGCCGGAGGAGGTCAGAAGAGAGCATTGGATCCCCTGGAACTGGAGTTACGGATGGTTGTCAGCCACCATGTGGTACTGGGAATCGAATCCAGGTCCTCTGCAAGAGCATCCAGTGATGAGCCATTTCTCCAGCCCCATTTAAATCCTTTATTTTAGAAATGAGAAAACTGACATATTCATTCTCCAACTTGGAAAGATATCTTTAAAAAAAATAAAGAGATTTAGTAAAAAAAGGAATGCACAAGTTTGTTTGCTGCAGTGTTACTTACAATAGTTAACTAGTAGAAATAATGTACATGCCCAGTAGTAGAGAAGAATGATGGTATATCTGTAAAATGTTTGTTTTTGGAATAAAATTTTATAATAATGGGGCCAGAAAAACAATATGTATTGTAATATACATAGTATATGAAGGAGCATGTAACATATAACAGAAAAAATAAACAGAAAAAAAATTTAAGAAATCATTTCACAGGAGAATCCCTTTTGTGAATTAGTCTGAAATGGTTGCTATTATAAGTACTCCTGAAAAAAAAGCTGAATATTGTACAGAGCTAAAATTAAGGAGCACTTTGTATTTTAAATGTATGTGCTTCTGGTGGGATAATAAATCAGTTCCTAAAACAAGAATTCCAGGGGCTGGGGAGCTGGATCAGTAGGTGAAGTGCTTGCTATGCAACCATGATGACCTGCATTTGGACCCCTAGCACCCATATGAAAGCCAAGCTCAGTGTTGTACATCTGTAACCTGAGCACTGAGGCACTAGAGACAGGTGGATCCCAGTGGATCCCAGGAACTCATTAGCCTGCCAACGTAATAGAATTAGTGAGTTCCAGGTTCAGTGGAGACCCTGTCTCAAAGAATAAGATGGAGAGCAACTGAGAAAGACACCCAGTGTCAACATCTCACTTCCATATGTGCCTATACATGCACATGCACCTACAAACATACATCCACATAAATACATGTTTTCACAATATCTACATATACCTACATGGAAAAGATTCTGTCATCCTCTCATTTCTTCCTTCTCTATATTCCTTTCTCCAGGCCTCCCTCTTTCTACCTTTTGAAAAGGAACCTTCTGGGGCTGGGGAGATAGCTCAGCGGTTAAGAGCACTGACTGCTCTTGGAGAGGACATGGATTCGATTCCCAGCACCCCCATTGTGGCTATGAACTGTCCTTAACTCCAGTTCCAGGAGAATCCAATGCCCTCTTCTGACTTCTGCAGCATTGCATGACATGGGTGCGCTCACATACATGCACTCATACATATAAAATAAAAATAACAAATAAAAATTAAAAAATAAAACAAAAGGAACCTTCCTTTCACAGCTAATTGTCTAGATGAATGAATAAAAACTGCCATTTCGTGCATATCTCCTGACTTTTTTTTCTTCTTCTGACTTTTGATTATGCAGTTTCTCCCTCAGTGGGAGTTGTTTTCTTGTCAAAGCAGCCATCTTGCCCTCTGGTCTTCACAGAAGGCCATCAGCCTGGGAATAAAAAACTGCCTTCACCTGCTTTCCCTGTTTGCCTAGTACCTTTGCATTCAGCGTATCAGAGTCTCATCTCATAACCAAAATAGCAAACATTAAACAAACATGAAAGTGAGTTGTATGTGAGACCATATGTAAACTAAATAAACAGTAATTAGATTTTGTTTTTGTTTTTTGTTTTTTGTTTTCCCAAAATAAGTCATTTCTCACCCTTGCTCTATAGTGCTGGCTCAGGCATCCTGGATGCCCTCAGAAGCAAAAGTGCTTCAGATTTTCCCTTCAATGAAGCAGCCTTCTCTTCTGGTACTTGCCCTGAAACTCCTTAAATAAGAATTCCTTTGGGATCAAAAATGATAAACATCTTCATGTTAGTGTTTTTGGTCCCTTTCAGGGTCTCTTTTATTCTGTCTTTCTCTGTTCTCAAAAACAAGAAAGAAGAGATAAGATTAGTGCTTTCCCAGGGCTGGAGAGATGGATCAGCGATTAAGAACACTGACTGTTCTTCTGGAAGACCTGGGTTCGAATCCCAGCACCCACATGGCAGCTAACGACTGTCTGTAACTCCAGTTCCAGAGGATCCAACAGCCTCTTCTGTCTTCTGCTGGCATTGCACGACATGGGTGCACTTACCTACATGCAGGCATAACATTCACACACATAAGATAAAAATAATAAATAAAATATTTTTAAAGAAAAGATTAGTGCTTTGCCGCTGAAGATGTGTCTGAGTTCCTCCTGACCACAGGCCGAAACTATGGATCCTCGTTTTGTTTTAAATTGAATAACTGGCTTACAAGTTTTTTCAGAAAGCATTTGAGCAAGATCCTCATCCCTCTTAGACCCAAGCCTTTTCATCAAGTTATCAGTTGATTTTTAATTGAAGCAGGTATTGCAATGTCTGTTTCTGTCCTGTATTTATATCATAGAAGCCATCTATTGTGATCTGAATTTCAAATATCAGTAAGCATTATGAGACATTCATGTGATTGAAGACTTGATAGTATTCTACTCAGCCTATCAAATTATGATGGAGGATGGAATTTATATAACTGTTTAATATTATGCAAATTTAACATTGCTGAAAATTCCTGCTTAATTGAGGTATAGTGCGATTGACTGTACAAAATTCCTAAAACCTGTTTTTAGAGAGAAAATTCGGTCATTAAGATCTAGTCTTCTTTTGATGACTCCTACTTAACTTTAACACAGAGGTTTTAAATTGATTTGCCATCATTCCCTCGCAAAGTAAAATTTTCCAAGGGTATAGTAAGAGGAGGTTTGTTGCCATCTTTTTTTTTATTGGTGGAACTCATTATCAGGTAGAGGTAGAACCAGTGGGAGGTATATTTGATTAGCTTTTTAAGAACATTGACAAGGTAAGTTGTTTTTGACACACCACCCTGTGACCATCCATCAGAGACTTTAAAAAGGGTCTCCCTGCTTTGTGAGTCACCTCAGTCATCTGTCCGATGGCTCTAGAATTCAAGGTTTTGATCTTGTCATCTGAGATATCCTACAGTTAGTGAAAACTTGACCTGCAGCATTTGCAAATTACATTTTTAGATCTACTTCTAATTTTAGTATGCCTTTATGCTCTTAAAATTCTCCCCTAAAATTTAAATTTTTTATTTCATTTATTTCTTTGTGTTTGGGGGAGTGGCGTGTACATGCCACAGTATGCATGTGGAGTCAGATGATAAGTTGTGGGAGTGAGTTCTATCCTTCTACCATATGGGTCCTGCAGTTCCAACTCAAGATTGTGAGGCTGAGTGGGCCCATCCCTTTACCTACTGAACCAAGTGACAGCTGCCCTCATTGCCTAAAATTTAATGAACCAGAATAAATCTCAGAGTCTTTAAGACTCCATGTGTTTGTGTATGTGTCAGGATCCCACGTAGCCCAAGCTGTCCTCAAGTGTGTGTGTGTGTGTGTGTGTGTGTGTGTGTGTGTGTGTATGTGTGTGTATATGTTTGTCAGTATCTCACATAGCCCAGGCTGTCCTCACAATCACCATGTAGTTGAAGATGATCTTAAACTTTTAATCTTCCTGCCTCCACCTCTTCAGTGTTGGGATTGTGGTCATGCCCCATCATGTCCAGTTTAAATGGTGTTAGAGATTGAACCCAGGGCCTTGTGCATGCTAGGCAGGTACTCTACTAACTTAGCCACATCCCTTGCCCTAAGTCTTAAAGACTTCTAAGGGACTTTTTCACCTAAAATACCCAGTAGTCCAAATGCTCTGAAGACAGAAACTGAAAGGCAGTGAGAACAGAGAAGCTGGGTTACACTTCTCTGCCAGTTTCTAGAAGACTGCTGGCTTGGCCATCTGGACGTGTGGAAGAGATGGCAAAATATAGATGGAAGCCACATGACCAGTGTGCTCGATTGCTTGGATTATGTTTGGCTGCTGTCAGCTTCTTCAAATTGCTTCCTTTCCTTTGCCTTGGGGCCTTCTCTGCTGAACTCATCCTTAGCCCCCTAGGGGGTGGGGAGGCAGTGATGCTGAGGACACAGTGAAAAGCAAAGGAGATATGATTCCTCCTGGTGCTTAAAGTCTAGTGGCAAGACATGTAACTTACTATTACAGTGCTATTGAGGGGAATGGGAGGGACAAACAGCAGGAGTAGTTTGGGGCACAAGTGGAGCAGGTTTGGGATGTGAATGTGCCAGAACCAAAGGATGAAGCCAGCACTTTGGAGTCTAAAATAGACAAGGTGTTTTTTAGGTAATGTTGGTTCTGTCCAAGTTAGAAAGAGAGTAGTCTCTCTGAGCTCTTCCTGGCTATTCTAGTAGTCTTTCTTGCTGGGATATACTTGATACATACTTCATCTTCTCACAGCCTCTCTCTCTATCATAGGATCTTGGCCTTAATTTCTCCTTACTCTGTTTATGGACTTTTGTGAATGAATGACCTTGTGGACTAGTTTACCCCAGCTAGTTTTTTAATTTTTCCACCTAAATATTAGCTGTGGATCAGCCTGTCTACTTGTCCTCTCTGAGCACTCCATATACATCATCAGTTAGAAGTCTCCTTACGATCCTCTCCCTCTTCCTCAGACCCATCTATCAACTCAGAGTGCATGCTTTTGAGACATCTGAAAACGTGCAAGAAATGTTTAGAAGGAACGTGGACTTTGGTGTCATTCAAATCCACATTCAGGTCATGACTGTGATGCTAAGTATTTAAGGCCAGCTATTTGATCTCTCCAAATCTGTGTCATTAGCCGTAAAATTATTATTCTGTAAGGATTAGGAATAATGTGAGCCAAATGCCTAGAACATAGTTGGCCAGAGAAAAAAGCCACCACTGAGGTGAGCTGGAAGGGAACAGAATGGCCTGAGGTAGTCAGCCAAGAGACTGGAGAAAGCATGCACACAGTTTCTTCCCTTTCTTTATAGCTGCGATGTGCTCTGGCTTGCAGGCAGAAGACAAAGCAGATGTGCTGAATAAGGAGCTTCTCCTGACCAAGCAGAGGCTGGTGGAGACAGAGGAGGAAAAGAGGAAGCAGGAGGAAGAGACTGCCCAGGTAAAGGGCACATGCGGGCTTTTCTGTGTGCAGATAAGGAGTTGGTTAACATGGTGAAAACGGTAAAGTTCATTTTTCCTAACTCAAGGGGGGATGTTGAAGCAGTAAATGTAAGAGACTGAGATTTGGCATTTCTTTGGAAGGATGTAAAGAAGAGGTGGTGCTTCTGCCTTCGAAGATCTTTTAGGAATTTTTCTTCACTGAGGCAACTAGCAGGAGGGTTCTGTTTTCTCTAGGTTTAATGACTTAGAATTATGATCAAAGAGCTTTGATGGATCTGGAAACTTGTGTATCTCCAAGATCATTGAGTCTTCTGAAGTGCTTTATGAGCACTGTTGAACTGAAAGCCTACAGAGGTTTCTGCATGGTTTTGACAGGAGCTTTTGCTTCAGTGTGCTTTGGTTTCCTGATTCAGGCCTTAGACAGAGGGAGTGATAGCATTCCAGGCCCAGCTCTCAAACTTACTCCATGGTGGCATGGTGGCACACATCTTTAATCCAAGCACTTGGGAGGTAGAGACTGAGACAGGTGAAGCTTTGTTAATTCATTGCCAGCTTGGTCTACATAGTGAGTCCCAGGTCAACCAGGGCTACACAGTGAGACCCTGGCTAAAATAAAATAAAAAAGAGAATGTAGAGTTGAACCAGCACTGAAGCTAGTACCCTGCTTTCATGTGAGTTGTGGATCTGATCAGCCCAGAGCCAGAACGGAGCTTGGAGCCCAAGATAGGTTGAAGGGACCTCGGTGCCCAAGGAGGAGGGAAAACAGGCATTCAGTCCATAATCTTCACCCAGCAGTCCAGCCATTGAGCTGAAGATTATATTAGAGGTTAGAGATTATTCATAAATGATAGCTTACTGTTTATGCAATAACTAACTTATAAAGTGAGGAAACTTCTGAAAACATCATTCTGAGGCCTCAGTAATACTAGCTAAAACAGAGTCTAATCTAAAGCATTTCAGAGGCCTTCATCCATACAACCAGAACAAAGTTTCAGTGAAATTTCACAAAAGAGATATGTGTCATTTAGCACTTTCCAAGATTTATTTTAAAATGTTCTGTGGGTTGGAGAGATGGCTCAGCAGTTAAAAACACTGACTGCTTTTCCAGAGGCTCCAGATTCAGTTCCCAGCACCTACATGGAGGCTAACAACCATCAGTAAGTCCAGTTCTAGGGGATCTGACACCAACTTCTGGCCTCCACAGGCATTGCATGCATATGGTGCACTTATATGCAGGCAAAACACTCATACACATAAAATAAAAAGTAAATAAAATGTTCTATGGCTTTTTTTTTCCATTGAAATATGTTAAAATGAATCTCTGGCATTCAGTATGGCCCCAGTCTTTTTTAAAATTACATTTTAAAAAAATTTATCAGGGCATAAAGCACATGTAGAGGTCAGAGAACAACTTGCAAAAGTCAGTTCTTTCTACCCTATCGGTCCCTGGGATTGAATTCAGGTCAGGCATCAGGCTTAGTGGTGGTGGCTTACCTGCTGAACCATCTTGCCAGTCCATGTCTTTGTGTGTGTGTGTGTGTGTGTGTGTGTGTGTGTGTGTGTGTGTGTGTGTGTGTGTGTTTGAGACAAGGTCTCCCTGCAGCCCCAACTGGCCTGGAACTTGCTGTGTAGACCAAGCTGGCCCCGAACTCACAGAGACCCACCTGCCTCTGTCACCCAAGTGCTACGATTAAAGACATGCACTATCCTGGCCTTTTCTCTAGGCCTCTTGATAGATTTGTTTTTTTATTTTACCTCTGGCCTTTTTTGTGACACTTAAGTAGTTTAGTTGAAGAAGCTATTATGAAATGGAATCAGGAATGCTCTATGTGCTTCACCATTCCAAGGACATGTATCAGTCCCGAAGTGACTAATACCTAAGATGGCAAGAGATATGACATTTGCTGACAACTCAGCTAGTACATCTAAGAAAAATCCAATGGCTCAGTGGTTAAGAACTCATACTACTCTTGCAGAGGACCCAAGTTTAGTTCCCAGCACCCACAATGAATGGCTCACAACTTGTAACTCCAACTTCAAAATTCTGATGTATTCTGTCCTCTACAGGCAACTGTACTCCTGTGTAAATACCTCCACACAGACACACAGGTACACACAGGCACATACATACACACACAAACATACACACACAAAAAAAACCCCTACAATATACACCATCCCTCCAACCTGTTTTGATGATTATGATCATGATCTTCTTGTAAAAGAGAGATCATTCTTCTTTTTCATCACAGGAGGAAACTATGGCTTAGAGAAATTTAGTGATACTCAAAGTCTCTCAGCTACCCAAGTCTGTCCTAAAGTAAATGGAGCCTTATTTATTGCTGGGGGAGGGGGTTGTTATTGTTTATGTTCTGAATTATGTAAAATAGAGCCCAGATACATAAACAGTGTCAATATAACCTGTGAATTGTATTTAGAATTTTAGATTATAGAAAATAAAAAGAAATCTAGGCTGGGCATGGTGGTGCATGCCTTTAATCCCAGCACTTGGGAGGCAGAGACAGGCAGATCTCCATGAGTTCAAGGCCAGCCTGGTCTACATAGTGAGTTCCATGCTAGCTGGGGCTATAGGGAGACACTGTCTCAAAAAGACAAAAAAAAAAAAATTAAAAAAGAAGAAATCTAATCAAATCTGATCATAAACTTCAGTTATAAATTATTAAAATTTACAAATTAGCAAGTACAGAGTATGTCCTATTCATAATTTCATGCTGACATGAAGAATTCATCATTTTAAGAGATTTATTTTATTTATGTGTATGTGTGTTTGTGAGTATATGCCACATTGCATTCAGGTGACAATAGAGGCCAGAATTTTTTCATTCTTCTGGTACTACTGAGTCTTTCATCACTTAACTTTCCCCCATATCAGAATTCTATAGCTGCTTATACAAGAATAATTATGGCTTTAGGTATAACATTAATGATTTACTTCATTGCCTGAAATAAATACCTGCATGCTGTGACACTTCTCTCCTTATGTCTTGCTCCCTGAACCTCCAGTCCTCTCAAGAGCACTTCCCATCTTTTCCTGACTCCAAAACCGCTTGTCCCTATATAGCTAAAATTCCTTCTGGGAGGGGTAGACAACGTCTGCCCCCTTCTCCCTTGGTCCCTATGACAAATTGAGATATGTTTTTGCCAAACTGCAGTCTAGGAAACCAGCAAGTTTATTAGACTTACTACAGAGCAATGCATGAGGGTTTATTTACAGGAATGTGGGTACTCCCACACTCCTGAGTCCACACTGGAAAGTCTTCATCCAAGCATGGGCAGTGACCTCTTTGCAGCCACACAAAATGCCAAGAGAACTTCCCCTCTGCTTCCTCAGTTTAATATACCCTCAGCCCCTCCCCTTCGTGTAACTAGGGCCCACTGGTTGGTTAGGAGGTGTGGCTGACTCTCCCTGCCCCGTCTTTCTTGCAGAGTGTAACAGTCAGCAAGCTTAGCTGTGATGATCCTAGGCAAGTGGGTGCAACCAAGCTTGGGAAGATGGCATCTGTGAGTGGTTTTCCTGTCAGAGGACAGTTCTATGCAACACCCTACAATAGCAGTGACAGTGGGGATTGCAAACAGGAAGACCAAAAGTGGTTGGTTTTTTTTCCAGTAATTTATGTTACAGCATTATGAGTAACATATTTAACAGGGCTGGAGTAACATATTCAGTGGTTAAGAGCACTGGCTGCTTTTGCAGAGTATCCTAGTCTGAATCCCCACACTCACATGGTAGCTAACAACTGTCCATAACTCCAGTTACAGGGGATCTGACACACTCTTCTGACCTCCATGGGCATTGCACCACATGGGTGCACTACATACATGTAGGCAGTACACTCATACACATAAAAATAAAAATAATAAAATTTTCTTAAAAAGAGTAACATATGGCCAGGCGTGGTAGTGCAGGCCTTTAATCTCAGCACTGGGGAGGCAGAGGCAGATGATTCCCTGAGTTCAAGGCCATCCTGTTTACATAGTGAGTTCCAGGACAGCTGGGGCTACAGAGAGACCCTGCCTCAAAAAGACCAAAAAAAAAAAAATTACTAACTAAATTAATAAATAGAGTAATATATTTAGGGCTGTTGAGATGGCTCAGTAGGAAAAGACACTTGCTGCCAAGCCTAACAACCTGAGTTCAATACCCAGGACCCATGTGGAGGAACGAGAAAACCAGTTCCTACAATTTGTCTTCTGACCTACACACACACTATAGCACACATACCCAACCACTTCACTAAATAAATAAAATGTAATTTTTTAAAAAATAACATATGCAGTGTTATCTTGGTATTTTTTTACACTCATAGTAAAGATAGCTTCTAAACTGACACTTACTTGGCATTACATTTACCAATCACCTGGTAAGCAGAAGCAATTTCATTAGAGACACTTGTATGTCTTCCATTTTACAGAAAAGAAAGCCTTCTGCAACTCTAGAAAATGGTAGGTTTTGAAGATAACCTTGGTGAGGAAAATTTATGTAATTATTGCCATTTCTGTGACTTGAGAAGACTTGAACATATATGTTTATAGAAATGTGTTAAAATTTTGGCTGGGAGACTGGAGAGATAGCTCAGCAGTTAAGAACACTTGCAGCTCTTGCAAAAGACTTGAGTTTGGCTCCTAGCACCCAGTTTGGGCAGCCTATAACTCCAACTCCAGAGGATCTGACACCACCTTCTGGCCTCTGCTGACACCTGCATGTGCACATACTCAAACAGAGACACACACATATACATATAATTTTTAAAAAATTGACTGAATCCCAAGCATGCATATACACATAATTAAAAATAAAATTGACTGAATCCTAATGTTTCTCTTTTTAGCTAAAAGAAGTCTTCAGAAAACAGTTAGAGAAGGCAGAATATGAAATAAAGAAGACTACAGCTATCATTGCTGAGTATAAACAGGTAAGGTGCCACCGTGGGTTTTGTTGCTATAAAAACATTTACTTTTTACTTATGATTTTTGTTTGTGTTTTTAGTTCCCAGAGCAGTTTTCTAGATTTACTAAATATAGTCTCTCACTTACTCTCTACTCTGGAGCAGGCAGTGATTGGATATGCTTGCTGATAACTTGAGAAGTCTAGCTGACCAACAGTCTATTGTTTAGTGCTTGGTAGATTTAGCAGAACAGGAAACCTTCATTTCCATTGAGATTCTTTTCCTATAAGTAACACCAGCAACATTTGCCTCTTTGCAAAGCCTAGTGACTATATTAAGTGGCAGCATCTCTGCTCTCATAGTACAGAACAGTAGCATTTTTCCCCCAGGCTGCTTATATAGTCTTGCCCTCTGCAAGCCAGCATTGGCATGAAGCTTTCTACTGTGCACCTTAAAATGTTCTTTTAACAGAGAGCTTTCTCTCCCTGAAGGTGTATCTAGCTCCATCACTAAAGTAGTTCCAGACAGCCCTCACTCCAGCTCCAGTTGTATCTTCATGTAGTTGTACTTTCATGTCCCTCTTGTTAGCAGAATGTGGCAAGGACCCCTCATTGTTGAGAGATCCTGAGTGAAGTAGAGCATCGTGTGCCATTTTCTAATCTAAGGATTTCCTGCCTCACAAAGGATGTTGAATATGATGTGTGCGTTGGTTTTTTTCTTTTTTTTTGGTCTTTTTGAGACAGGGTCTCCCTGTAGCCCCAGCTGTCCTGGAACTCACTATGTAGACCAGGCTGGCCTTGGACTCACAGAGATCCTCCTGCCTCTGCCTCCTGAGTGCTGGGATTAAAGGTGTTTTTCTACATATAAGTAAAATTTGGGTTTTGTAGAAAATGAGGAACATGCATAAAAACACACACCAAAAAAGAAAACACCTCCCTTAATTTTGCCAACTAGATAAGAATCACTGTGTTGAGCATGTACCATTATATAAACAAATGCTATCTAAATAAATATGTAATGTATGTAAAATAGTGAATGATATAATTCATATTATTTTTTGGAAGTAGCTTTAGTCCATTTGTCTATTACAAACATCTTCTCATACAGCAACCTCAGAACTGGGATAGAGTTCAGTGCTCATAAATACACACACACACACACACACACGTATGTATATATACATACACATACATAAATACATATTCATATGTATGTAAATGCTCCTCATGGAATATTTATTAGAAATGAGATTTCATAGCTTTCTTATTCTTTCATATGATAGCAGCACATTTGTTTAATGTATGCACATGGTAAAGCTTGATACTTCAGGGGATCATAAAATGAATTAATCTTCTTTCGTTCCACTAGAAGGTGTGTTTTGGTTTGGTTTTTTGGTTGTTTTGTTTTTTGTTTTCAATATTGAGCCAGTCTCTCTGTGTAGCCCAGGCTGGTCGGAAACTCTTGCTTCTTCAGTCTAAGCCTTCCAGTGCTAGGATTACAGATGTGCACCTTCATGCCTAGATTCTAGAAGCTTACTTATAATGGGGGATAACAACTGTGTGTAGATAAGAGGAATAGGAAGGAATCCCTACATAAGAGTAAGGAAACCCTTCTTGAACATGGTATGGTCTGAACTGTGTTTCAAATGCTGGGTAAGCCTTGGACATGTGAACATGGAGCAGTACTGGAAGGATATGGTGGAAAGAGGAGGTCCCAGAGATAGACTAGTGAACAAAAAAGCATTCCATTTGGCAAGAGATTCAAGTACAGAAGTGAAGCAAAAGTACATAGGGACCCAGGCCTGGACTGAGGAGTTGTGTTTTTATTTTGCTTGCAGAAGGAATTTTTGAGCAGAAAGTAATTCATGGATATACCATTGGCATGACTCTGATCCAGTGAGGAATGGACCCAGACCAGAGTCAGAGTGAGAAAAAATAGGACCCTAAGCCAAAATAAGTAATAGTAACAGAGGAAACACAAAAGATAGGGTTGTTTTAGGCTTGCTTGGTTGGTGGATTGTTTTTTGTTTTGCTAGAAAAGGGAAGATGTGGAAAGTAATCCTGAGATTTTTGAGAAGTGATTAGATGTTAATCAGCACATGAACATTAATGACTAAGTGCTGTGTAACCTGCCATCACTTGCAGATGCATTTTTTTTTCATTTCTCCCCCCACCCACTCCCACAAATGCATTTAAAATATATATTTTATTTATTCTTTTTTATTTTTATGAATATGAGTGTTTTGCCTGCATGTGTATAAGATCAGAAGAGGGCATTGGGATTCCTCTGGAACTGGAGTTATGGACATTTGTTAGCCACCATGTGGGTGCTAGGAATCAAATCCAGGTCCTCTGCAAGAGCAGCCAGTGCTGAGCCATCTCTCCAGCCCCACCCCCCACAAATTCATTTTTTAATTGTCACATTATGCTGGAAGTGGCCATTGTATTCCACACTCTTCATATAGTAATCTGGTGTCTATTCCTAAGTACTATTTGGCAAGCTGTTCAAGTAATGTAACTTAAAGGCAAGATATCTTTCTCTCTGAAGAAAAATAGAATACAAAAATAATCTAAACATTTTCTATAGTTGGAAACGACTATATTTCATAATGTTTAGATTTGTTTAGAAGGATATATGGAAGTTATCAGAGCTCTCCTTTCTTCTAACATCAATCAGTACAGTCCTGAATGTTCCCCAATTTGGATCTGGAGAAATTGGAAAATGGATTCAACAGTAAGACTTGCTCCTTAGCTATATATTTTTTAATATAGTGTGTATATGTGTTGTATGTGTGTGTGGTGTATGTGCACATGTATGTGGGTGCACATAACTCTATGTATACTTGCAGAGGTCAAAGGACATTGGTGTCTTGTCTATCACTCTCTACCTTATTCCTTTAAGATGGTCTGTCACTGAACTACAGCAAACTCCAGCAGTCCTCCTGTCCATGTGCCCTCTTCCAGTGGTGGAGTTCTAGTCATGTACAGCCATGCTAAGCTCTTTACATGGGTACTGGAATCCAGGCTCTGGTCCTCATGCTTAGGAAGCAATCCCTCTTAATATCTTGGGTTTTGTCTGTTGTTTGGGAGGGTTGTTTGTTCATATGTGCGTGTTTGTTTTAAGACAGAGTCTCTCTATATAGCCCTGACTGGCCTGGAACTTGCTCTGTAGCTCAGGTTAGCCTCATAACTCACAAAGAACCTCCTGCCTCTGCCTCCTGAGTGCCTTGAGTTTTTTTTAATTAACTAATCTTTAAAAAAAAATTTATAATAGAAGTATATATTTCTAGTCCAATGTGTACTTTAAAATTTGCATCACTTTTCATACATATTTCAATTTTTTCTTTTTTGTTCCATATGTTTTAGTCTTTTCATCCATTTTGTAAAAGATTAGATTCTTACTTGAGTCAGTGACTTACTTTAGACAGTCTTTTTTTTTTTTTTTTTTTTTTTTTTTTTTTTTTTTTTTTTTAAAAAAAAAAAAAAAAAAAAAAAAAAAAAGAGGACGATAAATCTTTCGAGATCTGCCTGCCTTGCCTCCCAAGTGCTGGGATTAAAGGCGTGTGCCACCACGCCCGGCTAGACAGTCTATTTTTTAAGCATATTTTTACCTTGGGAAGCATTATTTCTGCTTGTTCTGTTTGGGGTCTGTAAAATTCCCTAAACTGACCACTCGGATACTGAGTCTCAGTAAAAAGGAGTGCTTTATTGGAGCCAACTGGTTGCTGTACTGCGACCCCAAGCAGTGAAACACAGGGCTTTTAAGCATAAAAACCACAACGCAGGGGATTTCTATAGAAACCATACACAAAATAACCAGGAAAGGATTGGAACAATCTAGGGCTGATTTCCAGAGACTTAACATATACAGCCCTTGGCGAGCTTACCTGGGGCTAAGAACATTTTTTTCCTCTTTTGCCCCAGACCATTCCCATAGAAACCATAAACAGATGTACCAGGAAAGGGTTTGAACAATGGAGGTGATTTCCAGAATCAGGTGGAAGGCAGCTTTTTCTCAGAGGATAGGGAGGGGGTCTGAGGGGCACTCTCCTTCAGTTCCAAGTACTTATTAGCACCTCATTTCAGAATCAATAATAAGATTTTTATCAGCTGCATACTTTCTGCTGGCCAGGTGCTATACAGCTCTAACCCTACACATACATCTTTTTCATTTGATCATTACAGTATAGCACTTTTCACTTATGAAGGAGCTCTGGTGTATTATTCAATCTGGTAATTAATGAAACTTTTATCGTCAAAAGAGATTTTCTGTGGCTGAATGGGAGATGTTCCTGGTTTCGAATTCTTTTCATCCAATTCCAGCATAATACCTTCTACAAGTAGATTCTCAATAAAGAGTCTATAGATTGATAGTGAGGCCACAAATTCATTAGAGTTAGCCACAGAAAGATAATAACAAGGAACCTTATCTGTCCCATGTGTCTCTCCTGAGTGAGCTGTGCTTTACACTTGGCTCTCCCAGGCCTTCTGTCTGTCACTGCAGAAATGACTGGCATTTGCAGTGCTACTCATTTACGAAATGCTTTTTAAATATTTTATTTATTTTTATTTTATGTGTATGTGTGTATTGCCTGTGTGTAGGTAAGTGCACCCGCGTTGGGCAGTGCCTGCGGAAGACAAAAGAGGCTGTTGGATCTCCTGGAACTGGAGTTATGGACAGTTGTTAGCTGCCATGTGGGTGCTGGGATTCAAACCCGAGTCTTCTGCAAGAACAACCAGTGTTCTTAACAGCTGAGCCATCTCTCAACCCACGAATTGCCTTCTAAGATCAGCATGGTATCACCAGTTATTGTTTTCTAGTAAAGAAACTCTCTTCTCTGCTTTTAGATATGTTCCCAGTTAAGTACCAGGCTGGAGAAACAGCAAGCAGCCAGCAAGGAGGAGCTGGAAACAGTAAAGGTAATATGTCAACTAGCTCTCTGGTACAGTTCACTCTTGTGAAGCCCACTGCCCATTCTGTGCTCCCACACTCAGACACTATAGAGAGTAGTAGTGCTCTCTTCTGACCTGGGTGTGGTGTCTTCCCTATTGCTTATGCTCCTGTAAATGGCTGGCAGGAAAGGAGGGAGGATTTGAGCCCACCCAGGAGGCCCCTGAGTCCTGTGTCTTTGTTGGATGGCTGGGAACCTGTAACCCTCAGCAGCTCACATCCAACTATTGCCTGAATGGACTGGCTTCAGTTTAGGGCTCTGCAGGATCATCCTATCACTCTCTGGAACAGTAAACCATGTAGATAACCAACTGATTTAGCAACCAAATTTTTAGTGGTTTGTTTTTCAAAACAATGCCTACCATTTATTTTTATTCTGCCCCCTGGTGGTAAAACTCCTTATGTTGCTGTACTATTTAGGAACAGCAACACACCAAATGGATTCCTAAGTACTGTTGTTTATGTCACAGAAACCTGAAGCCCTCCTATTTGAACATGTTCATGTTCTGGTTTCCTGAGTGTGATCTAAGCAATTTAGTACTCACTGGGGTTGAAAAGTTACTTGACCTTTCTAATCTTCATTTTCATCCTCCCTAAAATGGACCATTACCTGTCTCATAGGATAATTTTGAAAGTTAAATAAGATAATGTAGAGAAAATACTTATCTTAGTTCTTGGCATACAATAAATATAAATTTTATGTTAATACTTGAAAATAGTGTTCTGACAATTTTTTTCTCCATGTTGCAAAACATCAATCTGGGCTTGGTGGTATGAACCTTTAATTCTTTGTGAATTCAAGGCCAGTCTGATCTACATAGTGAGTTCCTGGCCAGCTGGGGCCACAGGAAGAACCTGTCTCAAAAAGACCCCCCCTAAAAAAATCAATCTGAGGTTATTAGCAGAAGATTTGTGATCTCATTTCCAAACCTGCCAAAATTTTAGGGTCAATTTTTCCCTTTTTGGTATACCTTTGTAATTTTTTTCAACTTGGCATTTGCCATTCTTTTACCTTCTAGGTCCACTGAGCAAGATTAAGTACTGAGATGTCTTGCTATAAGAGGGTTGGCTGCCTTGTACTGAAATCTGTTTGGAAATAAAACTGAAAGACTGTCTAGCAGTCATTCAGTAATTGTTTCTTTGAGACTCTGTGATGTACTCCATTGGATTACCATTTGATATAAAAAGTACACAGAACAAAAGAGCTTCAAATGTTCCTATAAGGCACATTACACATGCATGCACATCAACATTTAGGAAACAGATGGATAGTTCTGAGCTTGGTCACACTGATAATCAGAGCTGTAGAGAAAGAAATCCTAAGAACTACAGGCCAGAGGGATTTATAGAGGAGGGTGGACTGAAGCAGCAGGCATAGAATTCAGTCCAAAAAATAATTAAAAGGACATTCTTGGAAAACAGTGTGAGTGAAGACACAGAATCATTTTGGTTTTTAATTAAAGGAGACATGATTAGAATACAGAGGGACTCGTAATAAAGAAAAGGAGGTAAGATACTGTATGAAAGGCTATGAAGTCCCAAAAGAGAAATGTCACCTTGAATTAAACTAATGAAGAGCAACTAACATTTATGAGCACTTACCAGTGCACTGATCTAAGGTTTCTCATGTGTTATCCATTTAGCCCTATAACTATCCTAAAAATAGGCACTACTGTATCTTCTTTTGGTTGATGATGAGGCCCCAAAAAGGTATGATTGAAGTTAAGGTGCTAATAAGTAGTACAATCAGGATTTGAACCCAGAAATCAGACTCTGAAGACCATATTCTTAGCCATTCAACCCACTTCTCCAGTGCTTTTTCCTTTTTGTCTCATTTAGTATGATGTATCAGATTGATTTTTCCAGCTTTCTGTAACACTTTGCTCACTATGGATTCCCCAGTCCATCTTTGCTATAATCAGAATGAACATTCCCTTATACAACCACATCACCCAGTATATGAGTTTATAATTAGACCAGCAGCATATAGCCAACTCATAACACCACCAAGTTAAATATAAAAGGTGTTGATGTTATGTAAAAACAATCCAGGACTAGAAAGTAAATCCTTGGTGGTTAGTGATCTATGTCCACTTACTTTGGTAAAACGGTAACACCATTATCTTGAAAAGAGTTTCTCTTGTTCAGTGCTGTGTACTATGGGTTTCCATTCTCAAGGTCATATAAAGAATCTGAGAAAAATCACCATTTATCTGAACATGTTGCCAGCTCAAGTAAAATCAGAGTTCTATTACCAAGAAAGGAAAGATGGATGTTGAGCGGGAATCAGCATGACCTACCACATTTTAGTTTATCTGCCAGATTGAAGTTTCATAGAGCTGATTAATCTATCTACAACATGTAACATGGAGCTGGTAGAATGATTGTGTCTTCTTTAGGATAAAATCATGATTCAAGAGTCTGATATGTATGAACCTTCATACCAGGCTACAGAGAACTCCCACTGCTGTATCACTTATACTCTGCTTGCCTGTTTTAGATTCCTTGAAGGTTTGTGAAAGGGCTATGGCTTTCTGTGTTATTTTCTCTACCAAAATATTATCCTGCCTTTTGTGAGATCAATCTATTTTTTCCATTTGCTTTACCCTAATAAAATTGTTTAAGGGATGAGGGTACCCCTCAATGGTAGAGGAGTTGCCTAGCATGTGCAAGGTCCCTTGTTCAATCTCAAGTCCCCCCACCCCAGACAGGTGGGAAGGGAGAGGGAGAAATTGCTTCCTCAGCTTGGTAATTTTTTTAATTTATTTTTATTTTACATGTATGTTTTGCTGGCATGTATATAAGTGTACCCATATTTTATAGTGCCCTTTAAGGCCAGAAGAGGGTGTCAGATCCCTTGGAACTGGAGTTACAGATGGTTGTCAGCCACCATGTGGGTGCTGGGAACCAAACCCAGGTCCTCTACAAGAGCAGCCAATGCTCTTAACTGCTGAGCCATCTCTCCAGCCCCAGTCTTGGTAATTTTTCATCATTAATGATCTAGATCAAAAGCCAGCCACGATGTAATTTATTTAGGCACCAAATACTTTGCCAACAGTAAAAATACAGCACATACAGTGCTTCTATTTTATGCCAGAAATGAGCCAGTTATTCCCAGAGGATAAATAAGAAGTTGAAAATTGCCTTTTTTCAGTGTGCCCAATGACTATTAATTAGACAACAACATGAAGTAGAAATATATTATGGACAGGATGAGATACAAGCTGGTGGAGACTGAGAAGAGCTATGAGGATTTGGGCCTGGATTGGGAAGAGCTTGAACATGTCAAATGAAGAAGCTAGTGATCCACTGGACATGGATGAAGGAGTAGGAATAGATGACGCCAAAGTCATCAGGCCTAACAAAGTTTCACAGAAGTGTGGTGAAGAGTAGTTGCTTTATGTATATATGGAGGGGAATATGGTTATGATTACAGACATATTGAGCTCATTGTAATGGTAGGATATCAGGATAAAAATTGTATGCAATATCTTTTATTCATAATTTATTTTTGAGGGTATCTTAGTGAAACAACAGGACTGTTGTTTTAAAAGGAATTGCTCATGTTCCAAATCTTCATTGTGTGCTTGACAGGCAATCTATGCATGTAGTTAAGTTACTTTTATTGCTTTAAATTTTGTCTGCTTAAAGCTGAACAACAGGACATATACTTTGTTGAAGAATAGATTCAGATTAGTTGGGATGATCTTCCTCAGTGTAAATACAGGTTATCACAAATTACCTCAACTCTAGAACTTTTTCATTTACAAGGTGGGGTTATAGTGCTTACTTGTATAACTGCTGTAGGGTTAAATGAAATGCAAGTAGAAGCTGGACGCTGTGGCGCACACCTTTGCTCCCGGCACTCAGGAGTCAGAGGCAGGCAGATCTCTGTGAGTTCAAGGCCAGCCTG